ACAATGATGTAGACAGTGACGAAGAGGAGGTCGTTTTTAAGCCAAGAGGTCGCGGGTCAACCCGAGGCGCACAGCTGTCACGAGTCACCGGAGCTGGGCCTGTGCCTGGGCCGGGCAGTGTGCGTGGAAGAGGAGGAAATACTCGATCTCCCCGAACCTCGTTCAGTACTCCCAGCCAAACTCCAGCCAGTAAGCCTCAAATCCCTGTCGAAGAGATAGACCCAGATTCCTTCGACCGTGGCAGCTTCGCGCGAGGCAGCACTCCGCTTGTGAATACAAGCAACCACGTTCCCAACCAGTTCAACAGCGGTCGTGGCGCATATCGTGGCAACTACTTCCGGGGAGGACGAGGAGCCAACTTCAATCGAGGTTACGGCAATGGATTCGAACGGGGAGCGACCCGCGGTAGAGGTCGGCTGTTCGTGCCTTAGACGACCGTGGCAGCTGTTGCATGCCTCAGGGCTTGCAGCAGTAGGAACACCTTACCTCACCTATCGACAACAGCCGCAACTGTTCGTCAACACCAAAGTAGGTTCGCCCATCGCGAGAGGCTGCATCAGTTTGACCACCCGCAATCCGCCACCGTCAACTACCACATACGAGGTATCCGGCACAGGACTTTTGGTACAGGCGTCAGGTCTCTACACTTGCAGCTCGGTCGATCATTCGGCAATTTTCAAGCAACCGCCTTGTCTGGCTGGGAAGTGCATGATGAGGACCGCGTGCCAACTAGCGGCCTCGGGGAGCAGGAGACGTGAGAGGAGGGTGCAGAAATGCTCTCATTTCTATCCCTATGGTGGGTTAAGATTAGAACAGACGGCATTGCTCTGGTTCCAGCTGGTTCGCTTGATGGGCAACGGCTCGCATCGACACCAGCGGGTTTCAGGGATCAAATTGTTCGAGGAAGACATGGGAAACACGAGACGCTCTTTTCAGGCCTGGTAGCGACAGGTCATGCTACAGGATATCCATGCGCTTAGCATCATATCCATTCTTGGGAAACAGCTACATGTCAAGTCCATTCTTTTACAGACTAGCGGCATTGATTCTTATTGGCTAGCTGGAATTCCGGATTCTGTGTCGCACGCAACTAGCGCGAGCGAGCCACCCACGCCACCGTACGAGTGGCCGCTAACTTTGCCCACTTACGGAAGGTTTCCCTGCACCAAATCAGACGCTTGGACAACGCTCACGGTACCTGTCCATGATGAGCTTTCTCTCATTTTGGCCTCTTCCTGTTCCAATGGCTGAGCATCATTCGGCCTTGCAGCGGCCCTAGTTACTCATCTTGATCTCCCCGAGCATCTCACTCGCTCCCCTGTCATGCAGGGCGTTCCAGCCCGCCGTCGTTGCCGTCTTCGTTCCCATCGAATATTAGCTCAGCCAGGGCCTTCTGCTCCATGGAAAGCCTGTTGTCGAAGGTCCATCAGCTATCTACCCGTATAAGTCTACCGTAGAGCTCGCCAGGGGCCGTCATTGCCCTTCCACGCAGTCTTTTGCGTTTCGCAGACACCCGAAGTTGAAGAAGTGGCCTCATCTGAAGAAATATCAGATTCCTCTTACACCGCGGAGAAAGATTATATCGGCCTCGTTCAAGAATCCCACATACCCGACCCCGACGTCACAAAGGCCAATTTGTGACACATATTTACTCCCGTAGTCGCACTTTGCCCACGAAAGGGTAATGTCCGATCCTCAGCCTCGACCAACTCGACCAAGGGCCTTGACTCGGAGGATCACTAACGCCGCTGTCAGTCTGCAGAAGACATTAACCGGAGGCACGGACGACCATGGCGACATTTCAACCTGGAATCCCGCCTTGGGAGAAGCTCTTCAAGATGTCACCATCCTGACACGAACTCCTGCTTCCTCATCCGAACGGAATGGCGCGCAAATGGCATTGGACCCTAATAAGAATGGCGAAATTGGTTGGAGGAAATATGTCAAGTACTTCACACCATCGTACGTGGCCATCCCTTGCTACACGAGAGATAAATCGCCTGACTTGCGGCTGAAGATGGTTCACCGTGACGATGGGAACAGGTGTAAGTGCCCTACCACAAGGACCCAGTGCCAACATCTGGATGAGCGAGGCTATAAACCCACGAGCTCACTCTTTGATTTGTCTCGACCCAGAGCGCTAATCCAGGACATGCTAGATTGTCGCGAGTCTGCTGAATCAGTTCCCCTACGGCGCGAGATGGCTCTACTGGCTCTCAGTCATCGTCTTCTGCTTGAACATCGGACTCTATGTCTTCTTCCTCCTCGTGTCCGTCCTACAGTTCGTCCTGTTTCCGCAGATGTGGATTACCTTGCCTGAAAGACCAAACCAAGCATTTTTCTTGAGCGCTATACCAATGGTAGGACCACTCGGCTGTTCACGGTCCTGTGCTGATCAGCAACATCAGAGTCTAGGGACCATTGTCAATATGATGGTGTTTGTTTGCGTGCCTGCATGGGGAGAATGGGTAATCTATCTATCATGGGGGTGAGCATCTATGCAGAGCAGAATTCATCGAAGTCTAACCGATGCAGACTGTGGATGGCAGACGCGGCGCTGTGTCTGATCTGCGCCTTGTTTCTCCCCTTCCTCCTCGTCATTGGCCGACAAGAAGAAACGCCGCTCTCGACAATAACAGCGTTACAGATGTTCCCCGTCATCGGGACAGTCGTCGCATCGGCAACAGCAGCCCTCGTCGCCAATGTGCTACCGAACAATCAACAGGCACTTGCGACCGTACTGGCCGGCTATATCCTACTCGGCGTCGGCCTCCCCACAGCTATATTCATCCTGATCATGTACTGGCAACGTCTAACAATTCACAAGCTACCGCCTCGCGAGGTTATTGTGTCCTGCTTCGTGCCTCTCGGTCCCTTCGGCATGGGCAGCTTTTCCATCATGAAACTTGGGTCAGTAGCGATGAAGGTGTTTCCTCAAACGAAGAGCATACATCCTCTGGCTGGCGACTTGGCTTACAATTTCGGGGTGCTCTTCTCATTGATCATGTGGGGCTTCACACTGTTGTGGCTATTTCTAGCAGTTGCCACGATCTATCACGCCAAAAGCTTTCCATTTAACATGGGATGGTGGGGGTAAGGAAGAAGTCGCGAAGCCCTCGTTATAGTAGATCGCGGCTTACGTTTCACGAGGTTCACTTTTCCGATCGGCACATTCGCCTTAGCATGCAATACGCTGGCGAACGACATACCCTCCGAGTTCTTTCGAGTCATTGGCTCAGTAAGAATGCTAAGACCTTCTGAAGTGTCTCGCGTGCGCGCAGCTGACTCTCTTTTCAGATGGTGTCTGTTTCGGTCTTCCTGCTGTGGCTTCTCGTCGCATATGCGACCCTGCGAGATGTCATCACCGGCGGCAAAAGGTTATTCAAGGCGCCTACTCGACAGGCCAGCAAAATCAACGACAAAGCACCTGATAAGTTCGGGGATGGAGAAAAGCTCGTTTGACGGAATGCAATAGGAGGTGTGGGCATCCGTCAGGACTCGCGGCTGGCAGGACAGGTTACAGACTCGCCTATTACATTCCTCACTGTCCACGATCAGAAACTCGCTCACTGGCTCGCAAATAGCATCCGTGGGGCACAGCTGCTCCACCGCGCTTTTCACAAAGGATACGGACGCGTCAGGCCACGGCAAGGCAAAGACTGCAACATACCCACTCAATATTTCGTTTGGAGCCTGCCCAGTTCACAGCCCTTGATGCCAGGCAAGTGTGGACAGAAGACGGAGAACACATCTAGCCACAACCACCCAAACAAGGACTCGCGTCAGGCATTTATGTGCCTGGACTTCAATCTCCGGGAGTCTCTATGGCCGTTCACTGTAGCTGGTTGATAACAAAACGGAATGTGCGTACCTGTGACCGCAAGGTCCTTCTCCGGATCATATGTCTCGAGAGAACCCAACGACCCATACTTCTCACAGAGGTATAGGATGTCGTCATATGCTCTGCAAGCATGGTGAGCATCCTCTGACTGAGCCCCTGCGGCGGAGACTCGCACGTCTGCCACGACGGACTTCCCGGGTATGCTGCCAAGTCAGTCAGGTATGGATATATGCTGCAAAGCGGATTAGGGTCGTCCCATTCCTCGACTGGCTCCGACCGTTCGATGTGGCGTCGATCAGCTCGCATGTAGACCAGAGATTTAAAGTGGACGGCGCAAGAACACGTCCAACTTCCGAACTCCATTTCGTTGTGGGCGTACGTGCATCCGGTGCCGTTGAGAGATGAATATCATGGAAGTCGCCCAGGAAGAAATACACATTCTATCCATCGACATGATAATACCCCAACCGACTGGCTTGGGAATGAGGTCTGACACCGCGGCATTAATGGCTGCAGCTGAATGGAAACTCGCCCACAACCAACGCTCGTGCACCTTTGCGGGATGCACAGTGAAAGAAGTCGACAATCAGTATCGGGTCAGTTAACACATTGTCCGCCCGAGAAAAGCTCGCTTACCTTCAGAAAGTATCTTTTGGGACGCCCGTCTGGCAGAATGACTCGACAAGATCAGATACTGGGGGCAGCCTTTCGCCGGAAGGTCCCCCCCAGGCCTTGGGCCAGGAGGATTTGACAGGCGAGGTCCCGCACCGAACAGGATTTGCCCTGCATCGTGGCCGCAAGAAGCTGCGAGGTGAGCTGTCCAGTATTCGAACATTTGCGTTCGTTGGCCCGTGCTTGTGGGAGCTCGTGTCAGCGGAAACGACGAGAAATGTCGAAGGGACCGACACCTCACGTTGGCGGAACCATAACAGTCGCCGTGCGCAATTGGTTTGCACAACTCGACTTGGAATAGACGACTCAGCTCGAACTTGCGGAAGCTTGATTTTGGTATGCGGACGCCATCGCACCATACGGCCGGATCATGGTGTCGGAAAAGCAGTCCGATGGCCAGGATGTGGAAACAGTCGAGCGATGTTCGGTGTTCACAACAGCGGAGAAATGGCGCATCATCGCCATGGTGTCGTACGCTGCCTGAAGGATGTCGGCTCTGGGCAGCTTCATGGACTATCGTGCTCTGCACTCAATATCTCCAATTTTGGCCGTTGGCCGTCCCATTGACGAGGTTAATCTGGCTGTGACGTCCTACTTGGCTGTCGCAACCATAGCACCGACCTTGGTGAGAGATACAACCGACGTCGTCTGTCGAAGACCCGTCTACTTGATCGCGTTGACTCTCTCTCTCTCCCCCCCTCTCTCTCGCTGCTGACGTAGCTATCGCTCTGTCAAAAGGACAATTCTGCGCTCCTTGGTCTGCGAGTTTTGCAGGCAGCGGCAATCAATGGCATGGACGCCGGTCCGGGTGCAAGTTTCGCATTCTGACCCGACCATCTAAGGGACGTTCTCGATCGCATACGGAGTGCTCACGGATATGGCACCTCGCGCGGAAAGGGGTTCCTTTGTGAGTGCAGTGTCGTTCGTGTAGGTTGCCGAGCAGAGCGAAGCCCACAGAACGACCGGCGCTGGGGCTGACCATCTGACTTACACCATTCAGGGACCACATGCGCCCCGAGCATAAGGGCCCATATTGGGCGGATTTCTGACTTATGCTGCTGACTGGGCCTCGATCTTCTGGCTCTTCACTCGCTATTGCTTCGGGGGTGGTGCTTGTGTTCTTGTGGGATGACGATGAATCAGTGCAAAAGATCTATAACGGTCTCCTGAGGGATAAGAACTACCACTCGCCAGTGGCAGCTCAGGCTTCCAGCAACATCATTCGGTGCGCGCGCCCGCAGCGATCGTGGTGTCGTTCTTGCAGGACTTGGTCGACGCCATAGGAATCGGCTGGACAGTCATTCACGTTCATGGGTGGCTTGTGTGTGAGAGTGCCCTGGCTCTCTTCATCCCTGACCACCGCTGGGGCACGTTATCTCGACAAAGGCACATCTCTCCAGTCTCAGGCGGCATATCATCGCGGTTCGGGTGCTGGGGAGCTTTGGCCAACGTGTTGAATGAAGGCAGCATTGGGAACGGCCGGTCGGTGCTGGGTGCTTCCTTATCTAAGAACTGGCTTCGAGTCCAGACCGTGGCGCCGAGAACGAACCAATTCACCACCGGGAGGTGGGCGGAGATGTGAATTGACCAAGATAAGGTCCATCCGTGCAGGCGGAAGCGAAGTGTCAGTGGAGTTTCTAGAAGGGAGCAAGTACGTCCCGTGTGCTGTGCTCGTACAATGAGCCTCCACGCAAAGTATCATGCCCAACCGTGACTGGTGAGAGCCGGTAGTTTACGTTAGGTAACTTACTGTAAGAGTCATGGCGCACCTCGCCCGATGCCCCTGTTTCTGACCCCGCGCTTGGGAAGATGCCCTGATGCCCTGATGCCTGATGCCCGATGCCCCTCGCGTGAGGTGTCACGGCATGCGTAGGTAATTACTTACAATCCATAAACAAAACCCCGTTCACACGCAATACGGTACACCGACTGACCTCTGACAGTCGCATACACTCCTCCCTTGACTGCATCCATTTTCCAGCTTGCTTTGCCCGGACTGCCCGTTACCCACACACAGCCCGCCTATAACTACAACAGTCACTCGCGAGTCCCTCCGTCCTCGATCCAGCACCTTACCCTCCCTGCCTCACGCCAACTACGTACCGACACACACGGGACTCAGTAGAGAGAGTACACATCGCTCCCGGACCACGATGACGACCCTCGAACCAGAACCAGAACCCGAACACGCAACAGCGACGGGGACAGCGACGGGGACAGCGCCACCCCTCCGCATCCTCATCATAAACCCCAACACCTCACAGCACATGACGTCCGCCCTCCGCCCGGTCGTGGACTCCCTCCGCCTCCCCTCGGCGCAATACACCTTCTTCACGTGCCCCGCGCCAGGGATCCCGAGCATCAACTCCCCCGCCGACGCGGCCGAGTCGGCCCGGATCTGTCTCCCGCACGTGATCCCCTTGTTGGACCGGCACGACTGCGTCCTAGTCGCGTGCTACAGCCAACACCCGCTCGTGGCGCAGTTAAAGAGCGAATGTGCGAAGTTGGAGAGGACGCGCAAAGAGCTACACGCGCACGCCCACGCCCACGACCGACGGCCCAGAAAATACGTCACCGGCATCTTCGAGGCCAGCGTGCTTGCTTCGTTGGGGTTGATTGATTCGGGCGACGAGGCCTCATCAGCGACAGCAGCGTTCGGGATCGTCTCGACAGGCAAGATCTGGGAAACCGCGCTACAGAGCGCGGTGGAGGAGTTCATCGGCGTCGGCGTAGACGGGCAGCCGCCACGGCCGCGACGCTTCGTAGGCTGCGAGACAACCGGCCTCAACGCCAGCGAGTTGCACGATCTCGACGGGGCGGAGGTGCGGGCCAAAATGATGGACGCGACGAAGCGGCTTTTGCGCAGGGCGGGCAAGAAGAGTGATGGTGGCGACGGCTCCATCTCCAGAGTTCAGGCCATTTGTCTGGGCTGTGCGGGCATGGTCGGGCTGGACGACGCGGTGAGGACGGCGTGTGTAGAGGAGTTGGGCGACGAGGCGGCTAAGGCCGTATACATTGTTGATGGGGTCAAGGCTGGGGTGGGGCTGTTGTATGGTCTCGCTAGGGGGGGATTCTGACGGTTTTACACTATCGGCTGCTGGAAGGGGAGGTATTTCTACCTGACTCGAAGAGTAAGCACTGTAAGCTGGAGAGTGTCGTGGTCTAGAGGGCCTGGCTCTGGCTCTGGCTCTGGCTCTGGCCCCGGCTATGGTCGGGATTCAAGGGCAGAACACTTTATACCACCGGCTTGACAACAAGGTAATGATGGTAGGAATGGAGGCAGCATTGCGCAGCCTGAAAAAAGCAGCACCGAGAAGACAGGGAAAGCGGCTGTACCGTGACTAACTGGTCGGTTGGACGTAAGCGCCACGGTGAGGAAAAGGCGGCCTGGCGGAACATCAGCTGGCTGAACAAGCAGGACCAGCGTGGCAGGGCGGGAATCTTCTACAGTATCGCATCCCGGAGACGAGCGGCTCCAGCACCAACACACCAGCACCAGACCGGCACCCCCTGCGACTCTACCGATCGTGTTCTACGCGCCCGGGCTCAAATCCACACCTTGGTCAGGAAATCACATCGGTGCAGAAACTAGACGGAGAGATGTGGTCCGCCAGGAAAGCACGCAAGTACTGTGTACTTTACTTTACGCAACAGAACCGTCCCACGTTTGGAGAGCAACACGGTCATGTATTGCTACCTTGGTAACTTTACTCAGCTAGGTAGGTACTATCTGCATCAACGAGCGACACGAGTTGGACAAATCACAAAGTCAAACTGAGAAAAAACAACAAGCCATGCAGTCAACGGTCGGTCAAGTTGAGGACGAGGAGCAGGACTGCCACCCGGTACCGCACCGCACCGCTCAGGGAGACAACAAGCCCAAGGACCCCCGTTTCGCCGCCGCAATGCAAGAAAAAGGCAGTCTAGCCACCCATCGCACGAAAAGCCCGAAAGGCAACTGAGTCCTGCTGTTTTCTTGCACGTCCGCCATCGCCGTCGCCGTCGCCATCACATCATCTGCACTGCTCTGTCGGGTCGTTCGGTGGATGTTGAGTTGATGCCGCCGTTCGGGTCTGGGTTCCGGTTCCGGTTCCAGGTCGGTCAGAAGAGCTTGTGCTCGAGCGTCATGTCAGACTCGGGCTGTAATCCGACGCAGGCACGGAAGATGTTGGTCAGGGCGCTGCGCTGCTTCGCGAGGGCGTTGACGACGGGGGTGCCGGGCGGCGTGAGCGGAGCCTAGCACCCAAAAAGTTAGAATCAGTCTTGACCGTGGACAGAGAGAAGAGTAAGGACAAAACAACGCTCGAACGTACCTTCAACATGTAGCTGAGAATGCTGAGCACGCTGTGGAAGCCCTTGTACTCGCCGGCACTCTCGGTCTTCCACTGGATGCGGGTCATCATCTCGGCGACGAGCACGAGGTCAATGATCAACGGTGAAGCCAAAAGCGAGTCCTCGCAGACGTTGAAGATGCTGATGGTCTGATGGCCCCCCATGAAGATCTGGGCGTAGTACTCGTCCAGGGCGCGCTTGTTGTCCCCCACGGCGGGCATGTACTTGATGACGACGGTATGGTCTGGGTGCTCGTCCTTGGCGTACAGGACACTATTGGCGGCGACCATGTCATCTACGACGTTGGACTTGGAAATCTCCTTGGAACGGAACTGCTTCTGAGAGCTCAGGTTCTTGCCGTCGTTGTTGCCCAGGTGGTTGTAGCTTGCAATGGAGGTCAACTTGATACCGGCGTTGATCAAGAAGTCGACGAGTGCAGACTTCATCTTGGTTTGGCCCGACTTGAAGTCGTCGCCGCCGATGAAGGAGTCGTGCTTCTCCGCCAGTTGGATCGCGCCGGGGACGAAGGTGTTCTGAGGCGACCCGTTGATGAAGGCCGTCTTTTCCAGAATGCAGGCCACGGAGAAGACCGTCGAGGGGGACACTTCTTCGTGCCCTTCCTCGATGGCCTTCATCAGGTTGTCGGCCGTGTCGTTGACCCCGGGAATGATGTCCGCGTACCGCTCCGTATTGGCCGTCCAGAGAACAATCACCTTGTCGAGGTTGTTCTCGGCTTTGAAGTTCCTGCGCACGGTTAGTAAGAAGAACGGAACATTTGACAGCGCCAGGGCGGATTGGATACCTGATGTCGGCTCGAATCTGCTCCACATGGGCCATGGATGCCTTGCTGCCGGGAATGACATTGTCTGCCCGATCTTCCTGGTTGGCCGCAATGAAGTCGGGATAGTAGATGCTTGGCAGGGGCTTCATCAGAGACATTTCCTTGTAGACCAGCGCTTTCAACGTTGGTTCCAGAACCTGGGCACGATCCATAGCAGCCGCAATGTTCATGCTGCTGATGTCCCAACCTCCGACAACAATGTCGTTGGGGTGGACCATGGGCAAGACATCATGGAATGGAATGTTGATCTCTTCGTTGGTCTCTGCATCAGTTCCCAGCTTGATGGTCGACCCCATAATCACAGAGCCGTAGTAGTTGGCAGCCTGCCGACCTTCCTTGGTGTCCCAAACAAGCCCACGTCGATTGGCAATGATTCCCGCCGTGACGGTGGAGCCATTGTTGCCGCCCCACCCGACCAACATCATACCGACCTTGGGCACTTTCCGGTCCACCTGGAAGTCATAGGTGGTTTCTTTTGGGGTCGCCGTGAGTTTTCCGTCGGCTGTCTTGGTGACGGCCGTGGTCCGGTAGACATACTTGCTCTTGATATGGTCGTCGGTGTAGACCACGTTGGGCGAGTTGACCGTGAAGAGTTCCTTTGGTGACTGAGCCGAGTCCGACGTGGGGTGAGCGCTATACCCGTTCATGGAGCCGACGCCTATTTCCGCGTGTGGTGCCATCTTGACTGCAGAGATGTGGCCGATTGAAGGTTGGAAGACTGAGCGGATTCTGAGAGTAGGCGTTTACCGGGTCTTGTATGAATCCGATGCTCCTCCGGGAGGGGAAGAGCGTCGGCTACCGTTGAACGGGTGATGGGACCTTTAAAGGCATGAGACGTCAGTTACGGGTTCCGTGGCGGTCTGCAGGAGACCATGAAGGGGATGGAAATCAGATCTCAAAGAAGCCAGTGGTACAGGCCTCGACTGAACAGGCCATCTCGAAGGAAGCAGGACCATCGAGACGATGGCCGCCCACGGTCGGCTGCATGGCAACACAACTAATCATGATGTTTGAAAGTCGCCAGGTACAAGAAGGTGAAGATTTCAATGCAAGAGCAGGGTCGAGATGCAGGTACCAGGGCTGCAAAGCCAGGCCCAATGAGAACCTCACGCACACTGGCGATCGGGTGCAATGCAATGCAGGACGAGATCTCAGATGCGGGAGGAGACTTACGAGGGCAACAGATTGGAAAACGTCTTGGCGGTTTGACGGATCACTCGGAAGTGATCCTCTGCTGTAGGAAAGAGGGATGCGTAACGACCACGGCCGGGCGGTGGTCGGGCTCGGATTCGAACAGATCTCTCGGATGTTGTTTGTGGTTGAGACGGACAGAGAAAGCCTGATAACACACGGGCGAGATGGAAGTCTCTTTGTACTCATGCGGCCGGGATTGTGATATTTGTGCGGTGGAGTGGGTGACTAATGAGAACCCTCGCCGGTGGTGGTGCCCCCATCCGAACCCAGGCGCTTAGGCGAGGCCCAGGGATCCTAGAGGCCAGCCGAGGCAGCCTAGACAGCCCTAGACAGCCTGCCTGCAGCCTGGACAGCCTAGCCTTAGCCTCGCCTTAGCCTTGCCGGGCTTCACCGCCCTCGACATTCGTCACTCGACACTGGTCATTCTTCCACCACGATAACGACTCGTGTCAATTTGGTCATGGTTATTATTGTGTGTGGATTGCCCACGAGCAGTGTCGCTCTTGGCCGCATCGATGCCACCGGAGAATGATCGCTCGCGTGCTGATCGACGTTTCACAGTGCTACGAAGAACTGCTGCCTGAGCATCTGCTGTGTCGCTGGATCAAGTGTCTCTTTCTCCTTCGGCGCACCGCTTCCAAGCACAACTCTCGTCCGCGTGTCCTGCCATGTCAGCGTCAGCTTGATGTCCGAAGCGATCAATCAACTGCGCAGCAGGAGCATGTGCATTTCGACCGCATGAGACGTGCAGAGGCCGCCGTCACAATTGTGGTCCGGGGCCACTGTTTGTATCTTGGACGTTTGCTCCACCTCCAATCAATCGGTAGAGTCTCACCTCACTCTATCCGCTTTCCTCCGAATCGAGTTGCGATATCCGGCTGAATCCAGTCCAGCACCCGCTCGGGAGTCGTGATCCAGACTCTCGCGGGCTTCACGAACCAGACCCGCGATATCGGTCCAAGGGTCACGCGCGCTTTCAGCCCAGTTTTCAACCATTTCCCGTAGCCACGGGTTGAAGCGTGACTGCTGCGCTTTTTCTTTGCCCGAGGCATCTGGCCCAAAGAGATTCGCATTTCCCTTCTCTGAAATCTCGTCTTCATCTCAAGTCTTCACGGAAGATGATTCCGTGTTACACCGTTCTAGGAACCACAACTTCGTCGTCAAAGCAAGCTTCGGGCTACCTGATCCGTTTCCGGTGCCTGTCATTTCAGCGTTGACAATCTTTTGCCTGTCTCGGGTCTCGTGCACTGCCCTGATTGCTCATTAAAGGATCCACCATTAGCCACCCTGGCCCTCCATGTGTATGCCGTGTAACCGTCATGCACTCGACGGCGGCCAGATAGACAGGAGCTCGTCTGCAATCGGTAAAGACTGTGCATACCGGCGCGGTAATAAGAACGCACGATGGACACGTATGGTTCAATGGGTTTGCAACATACAGTAGCATACACATTATGTATCTGGTCATATCCTGTTGATCCTCCTGCGGTCCACAGGATGGATAAATCGGCAAGAGGGTATCAAATCTTCAGCTCGAATCGGCCCACAAAGCTGTGTCACTCGAGCGAAATGCAGCCGATCAATTCGTGCTGTAAACGAAGTCGGATGATGTCTGTACACATCCAAAGAGTTGGTAGCCAATCCCGCCGTTCGCCCGCGAAATCTGAGACTCCTGTAACGTCCCCACGCCCTGTCGCGGCGCGTCAAATCATATTATCTATGCTTGTCGTTAATTAATCCATCGTCATAAGTCTGGTCGTTCTTCGCTCGGGGAAGTTCCTGCCCTTCACGAGTCCAGGATCTCCGCTGGAGATGTATTCTCGGACCAAGGGACTCGGACGACTGGGTGCGTTAAACTGTGACTTGGGCGAGCTTGCAAGTCTGAACGCGTCTCGTTCACAGTACACCTTGCCAGAAAGCTCGAAGTAATCGTGATCCAGTCGAATTTTGCAAGTCGTGCATTTCAAGCACTCCGGGTGGTGTTTCTCTTTTCCTCGGCCTGCCACATTGGCTGTTTCCATGTATAGTCCTTCAATCCCTTTCCCACACGTAGCACACAGGGAATTCTCAAGCTCGTGATAGTGATGTGCACAGTAAGGGTGATCGTTGTGAACGTAAAACTCGGCAGTCGGGAACGCAGATTTGCAAGTCTGACAGACGAAGCAGTCTTTGTGGTAACGACCCGTAAGTCGTCCGTCTGCACTTGACACCGACTTCTGTCCGACCAAGATGAGCTGAGCACAGCCACGGCATACTCCCTTGTTTGGTACCGACAATTTGGCTTTGTTGCGCACTACTGGCCGAGGCTCTGGAGTCTGAGCTGGTTCTGGGTTCGTTTCTGGCTCCACGTGGATCGAGGGTAAGGCATCGAGGGAATCTTGTGGGTGGTACGCTGAATCTGGGATTGGAGACAGGCGCCCTTCTTGAAATAGAGGATCGGTGGGCGAGTCGGGTGACACCTCTGGTAGCTTTGGTCTTAGTGGTGCAGGTATATCGACAATGCCAGATTTGAGCAGTGCAGAGTCTGGTGAGCTGTACGGGTCGATCGGCATTGGATCCATCTGAGGTGCAGTCGACCTTGAACTTGTCGTACGCTCAGTAAACCCAATCGAACCATAAGAGGAGGCCGAGTCGATAGAGACACGTCGGAGAGCCTCAATCAGCTCCGATCCTTCAGGTGCAGAGGTATTCTCGGACGTTTCAAAGGGCTCCGGCGATGTTGTTACGTCGAGATCGGATGGTAGTACCTGCCCGGACCTCTTGAGTGGCTCGGCGGCAGATTCGAGCGCCAGCCCTTCGAGTGCCTTCAAAGACTCTTCATGGCTAGGCGATGGCTCAGGTGCCTTTAATGGTGAAGTAGCCAGGGGAGAGGGTTCTGCTGTGAAGAACGACCGCTCGCTACCCGGGCTGAACATATTTTGGCCTGCAAAACTCTTATCAAAGGAGTCTGATTCGTCGCTGAGAGCCAGTCGTACAACGTCTCGCCGAGAAGTGGCAGATTGGGACCGACGTCGACTGAACAGTCTACCTAAGCTTCGTCCGAAGCTACCGCTTGGCGAAGGTTGTGGTGCGGTAGGGGACTTGACCAAGGGGGTAATCTCGTGGTTGCTCACGATCGGAGCAGGTCTCCTTGATTTGTAGGCTGGTTCAGTTTCGGCTCGAGCACGCTCATTCAGCCACAGCTCGACCGGGCGTGATTCAGATTTGCTGGACATGGTACCACCAACGTCCATTTGACTGAGACTGGGATCTGACCTGGCATCATCAGGAGGCTTCGGCTGCGTGTTCTCGGTCGACGACTGAAGGGCTAGGCTGACGCCTGGCAAGGACTCCGTGGTCGCAACCGAGATCGATACAGGTAATGGGACGTTCGGCGGCTTCTGAGGATCCGCTTGATGACCTTCCAGCTTGACCTCATTGCTCAAAGGGCTTGTGGGTCGGGACTGCTTCAACGTCGGCACCGCATCACTCGACTTTGTGCCAGAAGTATTGGAGGATCCTTCTCTTATGAGCCCCGGACGCCTGCTGCTGTGTGCAGCGCCTTTGCGGCCTTCCCGAGACCGGGATCTCTTTGTCTCGCTACGCTCCGTCGCAGATCTGTCTCTTCTTTTCGTTGTCGCGGCTCTGGCAGGCAGTGGGAACGGAGGGAAGGCGCAATCTAGATTTGTGAGCTCTGGGGAAGGCGGTCTTCGAGGTCCTGGGAGTGATCCTTTGCGCACTGCAGGCCATGGGGATTTCGGGCCGGAGCCGGCGCTCACAGGGGAGATCATGGAGTTATGACCGCTGCTCGCAGGGGTGAATTCGCCTTGATATACCGGAGCTCGAACTGGGCATATATCAGTCTCTCTTCCCAGCGAAGAGCATCAGCGACTTACAGCCAACAGAAGGATCGATCTTCGGCAGGAGCGGTCGCTGCGATCGCATGCTTCGCAAGCTGTTAGACGAATCTGTTCGTGGAGGAGGCGGAGGCATGATAGAAGCTGAGTCGTTAGTCGATCCAAGAAATCTGGGTCCACAACAATGGAATTTACCTGGTGGAGGTGTTGATGCGCACTGATGCACGGCCAGGCCTGACATCTGGACGTCCTTCCCGCAGCTCGAGCATTTGATGACCGGTAAGGTCCTTGGATCCTTCATCGGGATTTCCATTCTTCCCTCGCAATCCTTTGCTCCTGCTTAATCAGATTTCCTTCCTTTTCAAAATCCTCGTCCGGACAGGTATCAGCAGCACATGACAAGTGCTAGACACCTGCGTGACTGTTGGTGCTGTCGAGGCCGAGATGCAGAGTTGGGTCAGTGGCTGGACAAGTCTCTCGTATTCAGTTATCTAGAGTTTTTGGGACATGGGTTGCAGGAAATATGGCGATGATAAAACGACAGGCCCAGGGCCAGAACATCCAAGCCGCGGGCAGGCGAGAGCCAGGGTATGTTAAAGTGCTCGAGCAGACGAGATGACCGGCGGCGAAGGAGCACCGTGGATGTCTCTAACCGCCCGGCCATTTTTGTGCAAGACGCCGTGAACTAGCAGACTGGGGCACTGTTTGGCTGGGGTAGGAGATGAGGCTTTGGCAGAGTTTGAGACTAAAGTGATTGAACAGTGGAGATGCAGCCACGGCGTCGATCAAAGACAGCAGTCGAACCCACTTGGCTCGCGGTTGGCTTATCGAACGCAGTTTACCACTGATATCTGGCCAGGGGAGCTGCAGGCCATGGCACTGGCAGAGACTTGAGCACACGCTCACACCGCTCAAGCTCGAAAGCATGCTCGGCGACGCCTTTGCCGTACGTACGAACAAGGTACTCACGCGTTGATGGACCACCAAGCAATCGGAGACCTTTACGTGAGAGACATGCCAACGCGGCACCCACGACAGCACGGGCAATCTCACTTTGTCGTGCACAATTCGAAGAGGTCCGATCTCAGGACCGAAATTGGATAGTGTGTGCTGACCCATATTTGAGCGCTCGTCATCAACGGGCCACATACTTTGCCAAATGAGGACTAAGCGATAGCCACTTTCACAGGGGTTCCAGGGGCGAATGAGCACTGCAACGTCGAGGACGTGGACGTATTGAGTAAGGTCGCAAGCCGCGTCTTGAGACGCAGCATGAAAATTCTCCGAGAAGAAAAGACATTGCACATGCTAATCGAAAGCGGTCTGCCAGTGCTGAGTACTGGGCACGACCGACTGCAAGCGCACCGGCTCCTGGAGCTGGGAACGCACCAAGAATCGAAGCCAGATGAGATGCTCCGTGCAACCGTGGTATATCAGGACAAAGGTAGGTACCTAGGTACATTACTCGGTACACGAGGACTGACAACAATGAGTGGTTTGCAGACGAGATTGACATGGAAATGAGGTTCTCGGTGAAGATTGGCATGCGAGTGATAACTGGCGCGACTGGCTCGGCGTCCCGGAGTGTTAGGCTAGCCCCTAAACGCCGAGCTAAACGCGCTATGAAGCCCACACCGAACGCGCAGAGGCGCCTGCCGAGCTCCTCAAGCTTGGCTTCCCCTGATCTCGCCTTCGTCTCCTTTGATGGGAAAAGGCCCAATAGCAGCGCCTGGGCGATATACCACGTATCAACCCGCTGCTCGTTTCCTTCAAACTTTCAGATTCACCATTCTGCTTGGACACGACTTCGAGAAATCTGCAGGAAGTCTCGCGGCACAGCGGCTAATTTGAACTTCTCATGGTCTAGTCGTTGCGGACAACGACATTAGACCTCTCGCCACGACCAAGCCAACCAACATCCAAGCACAACGCTAGACTGTAAGAGGGACATAGCCAGACGTTTGAAGGAGATAACGATGCCTAGCGCTATCGAGCTACAGTAGAAATCAACTCGATGGCCGGGGTCGTCGCGGTGGTCGACATCTTCCACCGCTGATCTTCTTCCATCCGTGCACGAACGACAGATCCATGCTCATCTCCCACTGTGTGATAACAACAACGGCCTCCATATTCGTTCTGGGCGCAATCGAAAATGGTAAGATCCACGACCATCCACGCCGATTCTTGCGGAATCGAGCATGGTATCATCCGACCTGTATTTGGCATACGTACTCCGTACTCCGTACCTTTCTATTACTGGGGTAGAGAACAGCAGCAGTGGCCCATCGCCATCTGCAATTTTCCGAGCCAACGGTGTCTAGCGAAGTCTCGCCGCATACGAGGTACCAGTGGTACGAGGTAATGAGACATAGTTTACAAGGACGTACGCGGTACGGCAGGGTCTCAGTTCAATCGAGTCGTACTTCGTGGAAACCAACGCACATTTTCACAACAGCATAGGTTTTATTCGGCCTCCTTGACCAGGACTAACTAGTCCGTACGGAGTATTTAGTTTGTCTCCGCAATATCGACGGTGACGGGATCGTCGGTCTGCCAGAATCGATTCATGCAAGAAACAACGTCTCCCATCACCAAACAGACAGCAGTTCACTCCCGCTGCAACCCTGCAGTCTGGGATTCTGTCCTTGCGGAGGCATCACGGCCAAGTCTTCCCGCGAAAGCTGCATGCCATCTTTTGTGCTCATGTAACGTTGCTGGGCTCGGGCCCTGCTTTCGGACTTTAATCCACTTCGGCACCAGCATGCCAAATGGGCGACTGCTCATCCCGGCAACTGCCTTTCCAATTCCATCACCTTCGGCATCCTCACGCCCCCAATCCTGACCATGCTGAGATCAGGCTCGTATGGCTCCTCCTCGACATCAGGATAAGGGCCCATCGGTGTGATAGCCTTGGGGTTGATATCCCCATGACTCTTGGTATAATTCTCCTTGATGTGTCTAAAATCTGTCGTCTCTTTGAACCCCTTGACGTTCCAGTACAGATTCTTCAACCAGTTGTTCAGCTGGGGGTAATCATGCCGGATGGTCCCCAAGTTGCACTTAAAATGCTGCACATAGACGGTATCGAAGCGGACGACCGTCGCGTATGCGCGGATGTCCACCTCCGTCAGCTCCTTGCCGAGGATGTACGGCCCTCTGTTGCTGGCCAGCATCTTCTCCACTCTGTTGAGTGCGGCAAAGACCCGAGGCACATTTTGATCATATGTTTCCTGGTCGGGGGCAAAGCCGGCCTTGTACACCCCAGTGTTGAGGTCTCTTTGCATCCATTCGCTGACCTCGTCGATTTTGTTCCTCAGATGCTCCGGATATAGCGTTACCGCAGCGTATTCCTCCGGTAAGAGCGTGTTGAAGGCGACCTGCAGATTTCGCATCAGTTCTGGGCTCTCGTTGTTGACGATCGTGCCGGCTTCGCGGTCCCAGAGTACAGGTACGGAATATCGTCCTTTGTACTCCGGGTCGGCTTTGAAATACACGTCGTGGAGGTACTTGCTCCCGAACAAGTGGTCGACAGTTGCGTGAGGATACTCGTCATCCGAGCTCGGAAACTGCCAGCCTGGCCAGCCATGCTCATCACCCTTGGGGTAGGGTTTCACGATGGAAATGTCAATGATGTCTGTCAGACCTTTCAGGTGTCGGACCAGATTAGCCCGATGCGCAAACGGGCAGAATAACCCAATGTACAAATGATATCTGCCTCTTTGCGGAGGAAATGGTCCGTCCGGCGTTATTTGGCCGTGCCACGCTTGTGCAGAGCCGACAAGATGCTCGGCTACTGTGCTTGGAGATGGTCGACCTGCGGCGATTGCACTCGTCGAGGCCATTGTCACCGACATCTGCCGTGGAATTTTCTGTTTGGATGATGGGATGATCTTCTTCGCTAGCGACTGTAGGCGTTTCATGAATGTACATCCATCGGTGGACACATACCAGGCGACGGCGAGGATATACCAACATTGTCAGTATTCGACTCGTGGATGACAAAATGGAGCGCGCCAGAATTCCGGTGCAGTCCTCACTTATGACGTCAATTTGTTTACGCTTGCACCATTTGTGATGCGTGGAGTATCGGACGCTTTTCAATTGGAACTGCAATTGATCGCTGGCATTGAACTTGACCTGTAGTCAGTCACTCTGATACAGAAGAGCTTCTCTTGCTCTTGCTCGTGCTCGGTGTTGATCATAATTTTGTCTCAAGCCCCGGCCTCAACCCACGCTGCTCTCAAGGCTCCACGCCTCACATGCTCCCGGGCGAGCTGAAGACGACTACTATGACTTAGCATCTGACTTGGCCTTCTCCTTCAGTTTCTGTCCCTCCTCAACCTTTTGGGACAGAACCTTCTTGACATCCTCAATCGCACTCTTGATGAGCCTCTCCGCTTCCTGACCATGCTTCTCGCTGAGTTCCTGCAGCTGTTGCAACTTGGGTCCAATCTCCGTCCCACCGGGAATCATCTGCAAGAACTGCTCGATGCCACCGCCAGCGCCGTCTGAAGCTTTCTGTGCTTGGTCTCGAACGAATTTCTGAAGGTCTTCCGAATTGCCTGATTGTGTCGCCTCTTGCACCTTCTGCCACAACTGGCCCAGATCACCTCGAAGTAATTTCCCCTTGTTCTCTTCAAATAGCTTCTTCAACTCTGGTTGCTTGTCCAGCAATGGCTTGGCCTGTTCCATACCTTTCTGCCATGCCTGGTCGCCAAACTGTTGCACTTGTTGAGTCTTCTCTTGTATCAACTGTTGAAGCTTTTGGGCTGTCGAGAAGCTGACACCGCCGGCGAGAATGTCACGGGCTTGGTTCCACGTGTCGTCAACCACCTTTTTGGCTTCAGGACCGTACTGCTCGCCCATCTGTTGTAGCTGCTGGAACCGTCCGCCGAACTGCTCTTTCAACTGGGGATGGTTGTCAATGATTTCCTGCCCAGCACTGCCTGCGAGCTTGCCGATGCGCTTGAAGGCATCTTGTAGAATGTCCCAAGCTTGCGCTGCTGCTTCCATGCTGAATCCTTTGTTGGTGGTATCTTTGAGTTTCCCGTAGGTGTCGTTGATGATCTGATTGACCTCGTCTCCATG